AGTTATCAAACTCTGAAAATAAGGCTTGATAATAGAAACACTCAGTCTTAAATAGAATAGCTGCTATAATTAGTGCAAATAAAACCGAGTCCCATGTTAGTGAATGCACTTTGTTTTATGTTGTGCTATTAATATTTAAAATGTGGATTTGAATTCTTTTCAGCTATCTTTTTTTAGTGCAGCTATGCTTGTTGATAATTCCAGAGTGAGAGTCTCTAAGAATATGATTAACCCTGTGGGTCATCTTATAATGTAATTATTAATGATTGATTCTGTTTATCCTTGAAATCAATATAAGAAGCAAAATGGTTTGGCATATATTTGGCGTTGATTTCTTATATTTGGCAAACACAATCCTGTGACAAGTCTGGTTTTGGTTTATTACTTAGAACATGTTTGATGAATCTGAAATGTGTGATTAGTTTTATATAATTATTGTGATATGTGGTGTTTCTTACATGATTTTTATGTTAATATGGCCAATAGTGTTAACATCTCCTGCCACTAATAGTTAGGGTGGGGATGTATAGTAATTGATCTTCCTGGGAGTGCTGTAATGTAAAAACAATTCAGGCTGTTTGAAGTATATTTTACAAGTGTGCATTGGGCCTTTGGGATGTTATATTGAAAAACCCAATTGTACAGTTACCATGGGAACCCAATTAGAATAGATTGCTTGAATTTTTTCAGTCTTTCATCTTGACCAAAAATCTAATGTACTTTAAATGTTTTCATATGGAATTTTATTCATATACTGACTTGATAAAATATTTTTTAATTCCAGTATCAAAATCAGACAGCATTAAAATATGTGGATCCTTGAGACTTCCTTTTTCCTTTTAAGGAAAATCTACTGGTATCTTATCTATGAGCAGATAGACTGATAAAAATGCCATTTTATTATTCTAATAGTGCTTATCACAGCACTTCTATTAAAATATTTTACAGACTTCGGCTTATTAAAGGTAAAGAGAAAAATCTCTTAAATCTATTATTTGTATCCTGGATGATCAATGGAAGATGAGCCAGATTGTGACTGGCCCCAGAGGTGGGAAGGCATTGCAAGAACTCTTTCCTTCTGCATTCAAAGCAGCTACTAGGAATGATTACAGGCTATATCCTGTTTAAGCACAATGAGAACTTTCCCCTAGCACTCTCTTCTGGAGACTGAGGAAGTGGATCCCACACCTAGAAGGAAGCATTTTGTTCTATAGCTGTGTCCATATTATTGGTGCTACAGCAGTACTATAGTGTAGACACTTCCTGCAGGGATAAAAGGGTTTTCTTTCTTTGCTGTAGAAACTCTACTTCCACAAGCAGTGGTAGCTAGGTTGATTGAGGCATTCTTCCATCAACATAGCTGTTTTGCGACGCTGCCGCTTTGAAACACCACGTGGAGCCTGACACCGGGAGCACTGCCACTTTGAAACACCGTGGGGAGAACAGGGCTCTGTAGAAACTCTACTTCCACAAGCAGTGGTAGCTAGGTTGATTGAGGCATTCTTCCATCAACATAGCTGTTTTGCGACGCTGCCGCTTTGAAACACCACGTGGAGCCTGACACCGGGAGCACTGCCACTTTGAAACACCGTGGGGAGAACAGGGCTGGCCCTGGGGCTGTTGTTACACTTTAAAGTCGGAGGCGCATTATTGACTAATCAGATAGTTAATGCAAATTGTATCGGCTATTTGATTACCCAATTAATCTAAATATAATATCCCTACTGAATACTATCACTAACCTGACCTAACCCTTAGTGTAAAACAGTGGGGGAGTCCCCAGCTGACCCTGCGCTCCACGTGGTGCTGTTGCTTTGAAATGCTGCGTGCAGCCTTGGGCCAACTGGGTACTCCCCAGCTGGCCCTGGGCTTCATGTCGCATTTCAAAGCAGCAGACCCAGGGCTCCATGCAGTGCTGCTGCTTTGAAATACCATGTAAAGCCCCCTACCTGGCCCCAGGCTGCATGTGGCATTTCAAAGTGGAGCCCAGGTTTGGCCCTGGGTTCTTCATGGTGCTGCTGCTTTGAAGGACCCCCGAATTCCGCCATTGCTGCCTCTTTCTGATAGGCTATGTCTACACTACAGAGTTTTTTTGGAAAAACGGCCATTTTTCTGAAAAAATCTTCACTTATGTCCATACTACAATCACATTCTTTCGGAAAACAAATTGAAAGAACAGAGGGTTTTTTCCAACATTGATAAAGCTCTTTCTACAAGGAAGAAACCTTTTTCCTAAAGAGCTCTTTTGGGAAAAGGTGTGTGTTTGCGGGGAACTGGGAGTTCTTTCAAAAGAAGAGGAAAAAGGAAAAAGCACAGGTGCCGTGGTGGCCACTCCATCCATAGTAATCACAGCTTAAATGCGAGATATCGTCCATACTGAATGGATGCTATCTTTCGAAAAAGCAGATTGCTTTTTCAATGCACTTTGATGCTTAAGACCAACAGTTCACTCATAAGAGGAACTCAGTCTGGGCACTACCCATAATATTTAAAGGATATTTCTGTTTTATGATCCTACCTACCTTTAGCACAAATTTTAAAAGGACATGAGTACAAGTGCTATTCATTCACACTTTCCAATTTACAGGTCATCTGGGGAAGTGCATGTATATGCTAAGGATGTGAAGTAATTAACTAATTGAATTGTCAATGCATTTTTGCATCGACTATTCAATTAGTTGATAGGGCAGAGCTGCCCCCTTTAAAATGCCAAGGCACTGCTGCTTTGAAGTACCCTCCCTTCTATCCCCCCTCCCTTGCTGCCTCTCTGATAGAGGTGGCAAGGGAGGGGGGAAGCAACTAGTCGACTAGTCAACATCCCCAGTATTCAGTGATGTGTATTTTTCAGTCTAAATTAATGGTTTAGACCAGCCCTAAGAAGTTGTGGCTCAGATGCTGTCATATACCTGGAGAGTTCTAGGAACTACTATATTTTTTTTTGGCACAATCCCTCCAAGAGTTTTCTTTGGATGGTTCTGCATTACACCACCATCAATATCGGGCAGATCCTGCCTGGGACAACTGAGCCCTATGTACGCAGAATTAAAAATTATTAAAGAGATAACCTTTGATTTTTGAAAAAAAAAATTAAAATAACCTTTTATACTAGCTCCCAAATTGAGTTCTCTGGTCTGTTTTTCTCTCAGTTCCTTATCTCTGCTTATCTCTCTGTCCCATATATTTCAAAGATGGGGAAGCATATGTTTATATGATTAGTCATTCATGTAACATCACACATTTCTAAAACTAGTTGGAAACCTGATACTGACCAATATAATTTTTGATTTTCAATGTCTTCCATACCTTTCTACTCTCGAAATCCCAGAGGATTAAGAACACCATCATGAGGGCTTCTCTAAACTGAGGAATGTAGTGACAGATATGTTTTTAGTAATAGTTGAATCTTATTAACTATGATTTTCAGGACTTAATCCTGAAAAGGGTGACGCTTACCAATTACCCGGTTAATCATTCATATCCCTAGACTAGGATAGCTTCCCCTTGCTTAAATAGTTTTCTCCCCAGGGCAGGAATCTTTTGTTTTATATTCAACTTTCATGGAAACCTACCTGGGTCAAAAAGCCTAATCCCAGGCTAGTACCATGTGGTTTGGTCACGTCTTACTAGACCAATCACCTTTGAATTTACAGGACAAAAAAGGCTGCTACAAGTTGTTAAGCTGATCACCAAGTCATTAATGCTTCTGGAGCACACCATTAATGACTTGAATTAGCACCTTTAAAACTATAAACAGTCTCATATTTAATGTTTCAGCTTTAGATATAAGAAAGATACATGCACCAAAATAGGATCTACAGATCCAGCAGATTGTAACATTAAAATTGATAGGTTATGTGAAGTATTTTGTCCAAAGCATCTCCAGGTTATGCATATTTATATCCATAAAACAGTTTTCATAAAGCGTGGGGGGGAGTAATCATAAGGGGAAATCAGTGCCTCGTTTTTTTAGTAGTACTGTTGAAATGTCATTCAGGGAACTGCCTGCGAACTTGGCAGCCATATGCCTGCTGAGTCCCTTTCCAAATAATCCATCCTCTACCTTAGAAGCTAGATACTTGCTCTGCTCTGGATGCTACTGCCAACATGATCCTCTGTAGAAGAGCATAGAAGTAACAGCATATAGTTTTTCTAAATTAGAAATGGGTGGCAGGAATTACTGCTATACTGCACATGAACTGGATAACCTGATTGCTCATTAGATCACCACTACAAAGTTCTTAGTAAAATGTACATATATTTATGCTCTGTCTTGGTGGTAAAATAAGTAGTCTCCTTGTTTAATTGCAAAGGCCTGTTGTAAAAAGTAGAGGATTTGAAACTATTAATAAAGGTCATAATAATTCTTTATAATGGAAAGGGTAGGCAACCAAAAGATAAGGCATGCTTTCAGTTCCCCTCACTCTAATTGTTAAAATTTCTTCTATATGAAAGAGTACATCACCTTATTTTGTTATGCATGATGGAGTTGTGGAGCTTCAAATACTGACATTGGATGTAGTACCCAATGTAGAAAAGCTGAGTTTGTTGAATATGGTTTCTATTAAAGAGCAGTAAAATGGAGGGTAAAGCAGATAATGTGCAGGACCTGGCAGTTTAATGATGGTTTGGAAATATGTCTTTGTAAGTTTTCAAGAGCATTGATGTGGGTTCTGGTTTTAACTTTATTTACCACTCTTTTTTGCACACCCATCTCATTTAACTTGCCTCTATGACTTCTAGCATCCAGCTGTGAAAGCAAAACTGTAGCTTGCTTAGAATGGATTCCAGCACCATTCCTTGATCAAGCAAGCAGGGAATGCACTCAATCTCAACTGGTTTGGCAAAGATATCTGATTTTGAAGTTGGGGCCTCTGCATGATTTACTAAAATACCCTTATATTATACTTAACCATGTGACCAATCAGGAGAACTTGTGAGACGTTGATCCTTCACTGACTATTACAGTCAGTCATCTGACAATACTCCTGTTGTCTTTGCAGATTCTGCAGTTTTTAGGTGAACCAGAACATGAAAAGCCTGAAAGGAGATTTGAAATGTAAGTGGTAAAAGAAATTAGTAGATAGTGACTTTATCACAAGCAGGTCTTATGACAGAAGCTAAGAGATCCTACTTTTCCATAAAGGATGCTCTTAAAACCCAGAATGCAGGGCCAGTTTGAGGAACTGTCAGGTTGACTTCCTGATGAAGTATTGTGGGTGATATTTGAATGTGAATGGAAGCTAAAGCTTTTGTTTATGCTCTCCAAAGTCTAATGGTTTTGACCCAGGCTACCTACAATTTCTCCTTCTTTTATATGAACTTGATCTTCTGCAGCAGCTGTATTATTCTGGAACAGTGGCACTTGTAATCACTTGAGCGAATCATTGAAATGTGGGGTTGGAAGGGACCTCAAGTAGTTATGAGATCCAGCCTCCTGCAGTGAGGCAGAACCCTAACCCTAGATCTTCCCTGACAGGTCTTTGTCCAATTTGTTCTTAAAAGCCTTCAATAATGGAGATTCCAGAAACTCCTTTTGAAGCCTATTCCAGAACTTCACTATCATAATTAAGAGCTTCCTCCCACCCCAATATCTCAGCTAAATCTCCTTTGTTGCATATTAAGCCTGTTACTTGTCTGTCCTATCTTCAGTGGACATGGAAAAGAGGTACTTACTGTTCTCTTTATAACAGCATATGTGAAGACTGTTAAAAGGGCTCCTCTGAATTCTCTTTTCCTCAGAACTAGAGAGGCCCATTTTTAGCCTTTCTTCATAGATCAGTTTCTAAATATTTTAAAAATTTTGTTGTTCTTTCCTGAATTGTCTTCAGTTTGTCCTCATCAGTTTTAAAAACGGGCCCCCCATATTTGGACACAGTTCTCTGGCTAAGGCTTTACCAAAACTAGAACAGAGCGTTACCTCCCATTATTTACATACTCCTGTTAATATACCCCAGAGCATTATCTTTTTTCCAGCTACATCACCCTTGTTGACTCACATTTAATTTGTAATCCACTCAACTTCCAGATCCTTTTCAAAAGCATTTCCACCTTGCCCAGGGGTGGGCAAATACTGGCCTGTGCCCAGTTAGCCCCCATCTATATTTACCTCTGCCTCCATACGTACCAGCAATCGCAGCTACTGTTGGCTGCAGATCACTGTTCCTGGCCAATGGGAGCTGCGGGAAGCAGTGCCCCAGTTCATGCTGCTTCCTGCTGCTCCCACTGGCCGCAACGGTTGTCCGTGGCCAATGGGAGCTGCGATCATCAGTACCTGCAATGGCACAGGTAAATATAGCAGCGGTGGCTTGCCAGGGGCTAATCCTAGCAAACAGTCTTTTTTAAAATTGCCCATCCATTATCTACTCCTTTAGTCCCCATTTTGTATTTGTGAAGTACTTTGCACTTGTCTTTATAGAATTTTATCCTGTTAAATTCAGATCAGTTCTCCAATATGTCGAAGTTGTTTTGAATTTTGATCATGGCCTTCAAAGCATTTGCTACCTCTCTGAAGTGTGTGTCATCTACAGATTTTATAAGAAAGCTGTCCAGTCACCAAGTCATTAGTGAAAATGATTAGTTTTCCCACAGACCCTTGATAACTACGCTTTGAGTAGTCTTTCAACCAGTTATGCACATACCTTATAGAAATGTTATCTTGCCAATATTTTCCTAGTTTGCTTATGAGAATTTTATGTGGGACTGTGGTAAAAGCTGTACTAAAATTGAGATATATCATGTCTACTGCTTTCCCCAGACCACTAGGCCAACAACCTTCTCAAAGAATGAAATTATCCTGGTTTGGCATTATTTAGTTCTTAACAAATTCAAGCTGACCATTCCTTATAACTGTATTATTCTCTAGGTGCTTATAAGTTTGTTTAAATTTGGTCCAGTAACTTTCTAGGTATTGAAGTTAGGTTGAGTGATCTATGATTCCTTTCCCCCTTTTAAAAGGTATATATTAGATTGGCTGTCCAGCAATCCTCTGGGACCTCTTTCATAAGATCTTGAAGATAATTTTTAATGATTCTGAGTTTGATTCAGCTAGTTCCTTCAGTACCCTAGGAAAAAATGTAACAGGCTCTGCTTTCTTGAAGACATCTGATTTATCAAAATGTTCTTCAACTAGTTCTTTCCATATTTTGGCTTGCCTTCCTTCCTCCTTGTTTAATATTAATTTTGTTGCATGTTTGGTTACCATTAGCCTGGTTGGTGAATACTGACGTAAAATAGGTATTAAATATAGCAGTCTTTTTTATGTCAT